TTTAAGCTTTTTGGTAAAGTCAGGGCTCGATCAGGGGACCCTGCTGCTGCGATAGGCTCAGGCTGCTGGCAGACTTCCCATGATGCACTCTACTCCACTTTTTTTCTTCTTCTCTCTCCCACAGTTTGTTTCTTCTCTGTCCCATCATCCCACAGCTGGTCTCTTCCAGATGGCTGCCAGAGGCTTGTTGGGGTTTCACTCTAATATCACATTGTATGAATTTGCACTTTATAAAGCTGAACTCCTTTCTTGTGTAAATAAACTCCAGTTTATGCCAAAATTAATTTTAAAATGAGGTTTGTGGGCAGCGATAGCGTTTTCTGTCTCTGTACATACCCACAGCACTGAAAGCAAAGCTCTGCATTGAGTCCTCCAGAGATTAGTCTGCTGTACAGATGACAAACTCCATTTTACAACATAAAGCAGGATTTTAGTTCCCCTTTAATTACAGTCAACATACAATAAGAGTTTTATTGCTGGTTGAAAAAGCTTTGAAATGCTTCAGATGGTTCAACTCATTTGGCTCTGCTCAACAGTGACACCCAGAGGACACCGAGTCAACGTAGTAGGATGACAGGAGAAATAATCACAAGTGAAAGACCGCAACCAGAATTTAAACTTATTTATTTCCATCAAAACAAAGACTGATGTCAGTTTGCTGGAAGATCTGAGGGAACGTGCCTGTGAACCAGCTGCTAACATGAAAAGCAACGAGCTAAAAGACACACAAAGAAATGCCTGGATTTTACTCTGCAGCATCAAGTACACAAACACACAGTAGAGTTGGAGATAAACACCTATTTTATGGTACATGTAAGACTCAGACGCTCTCTCTCCTTCATACTGTACATGTGTGTTTATGTCACACCAAGTTCTCCAACCACACACACACACACTTCTGCTACAGCTGACTGCAGGATGTCGTGGTGGTGGTGGTGATACATGGTGCACTGGCCCAACAGACCTGAAGAAGCATTTTTTGATCATTATATAACTTAGTCATGGAGGGATAAGAAGATCCAGAGGATAAATGAGGTTTCAGACAGCAGCTGCTGTCTTCTTCTTGTATGTGGCCATCATCTTCTTGATCTCAGCGATAGCTTTTCCTGGGTTCAGGCCCTGACAGGAAGAGCACAGAAAACACAAAAGCTTATTCACACATCTGAGTAGACTCTGTACGAAGCTGCTCAGATGTACCTGAAGTGTCAGCAGTGCAGAGAGCTTACCTTGGGACAGGTCTTGGTGCAGTTCATGATGGTGTGGCAACGGTAGAGCGAGAAAGGATCCTGCAGCTTGGACAACCGTTCTTCTGTGTACTCGTCTCGTGAGTCAATCATCCAGCGGTACGCCTGAAACACGACAAAGGTTTACTACACAGCCTTGCTGATTCAGACTATAACAGACCATCCTGCATATTAAAGTGCTCAAACACACACCTGCATGAGCACAGCAGGCCCGAGGTATTTGTCTCCGTTCCACCAGTAACTTGGGCAGCTGGTGCTGCAACAGGCGCACAGAATACACTCATACAGCCCGTCCTACATGGGAGAGAAGCAAGTAAAGATATGTTTCCTTAATGTGCTGGAAGCCTGAATGTTATGGGACAGTGAAAAAACAAACAAAGACAAATGTACCAGCTTCTCCCGGTCCTCCACAGACTGCAGGTACTGTTCCTTCCCTTCCTTGGACTCATCCTTCTTCTTCAGGTAGGGTTCGATGGACTTGTACTGGGCGTAGAAGTTACTCATGTCCTGCAAACACATTGCTACACTAATGAATCCACCAAACTGAACTGTCTACTCAGGTGGCTGCGGCTCAGATGATAGAGGTGGTCGACTACCAATCAAATGGATCAGCTGATCGATCTCAGGCTCCTCCAATCCACGTGTGGAAGTATGTGTGCGAATCACTCACATTTTATTGTAATTATAATTTTGGCTTCCAGTGACTATTATAGCAAGATAAGACCAATAAAACGTTTATTATCAGCCTAATTTTTATTTTCCTATTTATTTAAACTTTTTCTAAGTCTATCATCTTTAATAATCATTGAAGATCTTAAACAATATGAATGTGCAATTATGATTTATTGCTGTAATCAAGCAGCCTTACGTTCAAATGCTAAAAAAACCCTAAAAAACCCCCCAAACTGATCTGCTATTATTAAACAAAATCTGCCTCAATTTACATTTTGCTGGCTTTTAGCTTCCACAGAGAAGCAGTGAGCAGTAGCTTCTTCACACCCAATCAGTTCAAAGCAACATTTAACAGTCGGGTCTACTGATCATTAAAAAGGGATGCCCAGGATTAGTCGACCACACAATTAAGCATTGCTGTCCTTGCTAGCTGGCGGCAGAAACACTAGTTGGTTAAACAAATTATTCAGATTTTATTTGTGCACGTCGCTGGTTAACAGCAGGGTTTTACATTCATCCAGCCACCCGACAAACAAGAACCACCCCTCTCCATCCCTCCTCCTCTCTGTGTTGGGAAGGTGTTAACAAGAAAGACGGAATGTCAGACAATGCAAATTCAGCCCCTTTATTAATCTCTTGAGTGTTTCTGATTTTTAGAACAGTCTGATTGATTTCTCCTTCTCCTGTTTAATCATCTAGAAAATTAAGAATCAGGAACATCCGCATCACATAATCTACAGCACCAACACTCCTAAAAAGACATCCACGCATCTGATTCATTAGATCTGGCTTAAAAAAGGTTGGAAATAAAACGAATAAAGAAAAATGTAACGGTGTTCATGAATGCTAATGTGTTTTTTCACTGTTAAAAACAAAACAGTGTAACATTTGTTATTGCAACACTAAATTTTGCACATGCAAAATAAAAAAAGCAACCAGCTGTTAATGACTTTAAACTCTTAGCACTTGTGTGTGATAATGTGATGGCTGTGCTAGCTTATAAAAGAGGACTGTGAAGTAAATGCTTCGTTCCAGATGTTCACAGATGTTCGGTGAAGCTGACTTACAGGTACCAGGTCCTTGACGACGTACATGTGTGGCAGAGGGTAAATCTTAGTCGGCTTGCTGAGGCTGGAGTCGATCTTGTTGAGGCAGGCGAGTGTGTTTCCTCCATTGATGTTCATTGCACAGGACCCACAAATACCTGGTTAAAGCAGAATAAAAATTATAATAACAACATTTATTATTGACATTTAACTTTTGAGGACAACAACAGATGTGGTACAACCGGTCTGTGTGCAACTCTTGCTTGTGGTGTTGTTGCTCGTCAACCAAACAGTGAAACTGAGTAATAAAAACAATGACAATGCTGTCTCTGCTTTTCATACTGTATTTCGTTTTTACCGTTAATGTTTTTTGGGGGGTTTTGCACTTCTTACTTTGAGCTGAAAAGATGGGCTTCTTAAAGATGGGCTTTGTCAGTCTTCAAGAGTATAAAAGCTTTGACTCAGGTGCTCTAGACTCTGTAAACCCCTTTTAAAGGTGCAACTCCAGCCCCTGTGTTACTGACCTTCTCTGCAGGAGCGACGAAATGTCAGAGTGGGGTCAATCTCATTCTTGATCTTAATGAGCACATCGAGAACCATTGGGCCACAGCTGGATGAAAAAAACAAACAAAAACACAGTAAGTTAAAAAAAAAAAAATCTGTAACATGAAATTGTCAAAGCAGCTTGTCTGATGTGTTTACTTGATCAGCTGAAACCCAGACAGATCATACGGCTGAGCAGCATTACTCAGCATTGAGCAGTGTCACGCTGACAAACATGAGCTGAGAGAGTTTAATAAAGCTGATTAGAGAACAGGTGAAGGAAGAGGACTGAAAATATGCCCGGCTGTCAGGGCCACCTGTTACTGTTACTGAAGCCACCAGAAAGCATTAGTTAGGCCATTAACAATGCCCTTTGTTTAGACCCGAATATATTCTCAGCAACATCCTAACCAACAAACATCCTAACCTGTGAAAAATGAAGACTCTGCTGGGATATCTGGGCTAAAATGGAAAGCTGCTGGACTGTTGGGTTTTAATAAAACTTTCTCTAATCAATGACAGGAAATTGCTCTGCCTGGATGCCAGATGTCCAAATCTATGACACTCACGTGTTGAGGTCAATCTCATAGGTCTGCATTCGGGGTTTGTCCCCTGGAGTTTCTGGATCCCATCTGTACACCTGGAACTTCTTTACCCTGGGCTGCCCTGCTGGAGCTGCTGCTGTCTGTGCATACCGTACCGCCTGATCACAGGGAAGACAGGCGAGAAATCAAATATAATAATAATTTCAAACAAACAAACACACACACACACACAGACTGTCCAAGCCGGGGCTCGAACCGGCAAACTTCCGATTACAAGGCGAACTCCCAACTCTTGAGCCACGATCGCCCGAAGTCCTCTTCAATCATGACCAGGATGAAGTACCTGCTCCAATCACTAAATTTAGCGTTGTCTAAATAACCTTTAATCAATACCAATAAATATCCTGTATTAATAGCTGTCAGACATGGTTTCATAAAACACAAACTTCATTGCAATAGAATAATGCCATCATTTTTTTCGGATTATCTTTTTTAATATATTTTTCTGCACAAAGCTCTATTATTATTTACTTTTAGTGTTAGACATACATTCCAACACATTTAGCGTTAACCAGCCGAACCATAATTAACTTAAGTTTAGCTAACAACTACACTATGTAACCCGGACTTCAGAACATAGACGGAACCCTCACGTAGAGAGCTGTAACCGGTCTAAACGCTGACACCGGGCCGGCTGATGACAGCAGCGGTTCACGATGAAACTATTTACTTTTCCATAATAACCGTCAACATACCAAGAGTCCTGCGGGAGAGCGGAATGCCAAAACACCGCACCGAGTCAAGGACGTAAAACTGGCGACCGACATTTTGAATGGTCTCTCCTTTGACCTCCGCAGCTCGCTAGCCCAGCATTCAACTCAGTGGGTGCGTTTGCTTTGTACACCGACGTGTTTCGCACTGACGCAAACACGTCCTTTAGAAAGTGTGTATTTTTACGGATCTGTAATCTAATGTTTGACATCTTATTTTCAGACTTTTGTTTTGTTTTTGTTTTGTGAACCGTAGCCGTCTGGTGCAATTGATGAAGTTGTTTGTGTTAAATTAGCCCGCGCGCCGCCTCTGACAGAATTTTAAATTGAACGTACCCAGAATGCGCCTCGGTTTGTCGACGTACGGCGTGCGGAGTTATTGAGCTCTCATAACACCGAGAGTGCTTGGTTGGAGGTCACTTATTACGTGTTTATTCGTTTGAAAGTGGACACTGCGGTGAGGTGACGGGGGGACTGAAATGGTGTTTTTGACGCTGTCTTGTTGGATCAGAAGCCGAGGACCCGACAGATACTGGAAGGTCCAGGAGGTCCTCAAGCATGCACGGGTACGTCTATTGCTATTTCCTGGAGTGATAGCTGCTAGAGCTCATTCATGATGTTTGTAGAAGCTGTGGTGTTTTGTTTATTGCATCCTCGTCGTGTTAAAGACTTGTAACAAGTGTTGTTGTCACGTCTCTGTCATTTCTTCCAACAGCACTTCAGAGGCAGGAAGAACCGCTGCTACAGCCTGGCCGTGCTGGCTGTCAGGAGGGCGTTCGTGTACGCCACCAAAGCTCGGAAACTTAAGAAGCGCAACATGAGGACGGTAAGAAGACCCAAATATTACTGCATGGCATTTGGATTTTTTCCTGATAGTAGCAATCGTAGTCTAAGTAATAGACTTTTCAGCAGATTCTGGGTGCAAATATATTTAAAACAAACACTAATGATTGCTTTTTGCTTATCAAATGATTCCTGACTGGCGTCATGACCACCTAAAGGATCCCCAAGATAAATCAGGTGCACCACAAGATGTCTAAATTAAAGCATGTTGTTTAGATAACTGGTTATATTTTCTTTATTTTTTGGTCGGTTTAATCAAATTCTTGATATTTTCACTCCATTAGTCCGCTATATAATAATTAAATAGAAAATAAAGCTTTGGGCTAGTTCCGCAGCAGTGTCTACATTACTAACAGGCCACTTCATTAGGGACACCTGTTCAACAGCTTGTTAACGCAAAATATTAGTAAGCCGATCACTTGACAGCAAACCAGTACATTCAGGTGTCTTGACATGGTGAAGATGACCAGCTCAGGTTCACACTGAACATCAGAATGGATGAAGGAGGGTGATTTCAGTGACTTTAAACATGTTGTGGCGTTTTGTGCCAGACAGGCTGGTCTGAATATTTCAGTTGAGCTGCTGGGATTTTCCAACACAACCATCTCTAGGGTTTACAGAAAAGGGTCCAAAAAAACCCAAGAGGAAACAATGCAGTGAGCGGCAGTTCTCTGTGTGAAAGTCCTTCGCCTGAGGTGATAGGAAGGCGAGATTAACTAAAATCACCTCGCATTACAATTAAGGGTTAGAGGATATCTAAATGAAGACGACCACAGGGGGTCCTGTCCACTAAGAGCAAGAAACTGAGACTATAATTTGCACAGGTTCAGCAAAATTTCACTGCAGAAGATCAAAAACACCTGGTCTGATGCATCTTGAATTCTGCCATGACATTTGGATGGTAGGGTCAGAATTTGGTGTGAACAACTTGGAAGCACTCCTTCCATGTCCACACATACACTGATAAACACAGTTCCACCCCCCATTTCAAGGATAAACCACCACTGTGCAATAACCCAAACTGTATATACATAACACTATTTATTTTTTTTACCAGATTGTATTTTTGTACACTTTATATTTTTTCCTGTAAATACTGCTCATATGCATATAGTGCTGCAGAAACCGTGCACCCCCCCCCCCATGTATCTCATTGTACATCTGTATAATGACAATAAAGTCATTCTATTCTATTCTATTCTAAAACCTCAGTTCTGCTCCATGCTGCTGACTTATTTTGATTAAATTGGGAGAATTTGAAGTCAGGTCAGCACTTTGGGCTCTTTGTCCTGATCATCGAGCTGTTCCTGAGCAATTTTTGTAGTGTGTTGGGGGGTGTTCTCTGGCTGGGTGAGGCCACTGCTGTGCACTTCCCAGCAGAACTTTGCAGTATAACAGGATGTTGTTCACTTCCTCTCTTTGGATTTAATATTGCAGCTGATTGGTGTGTGTGTGTGTAAGATTAGAAATCAGTTTGCTTCAGTATAATTGATCCTGTGTGTTGTCCCCTTGATTCATCAGCTCTGGATCTCACGGATTGCTGCAGCAACACGAGAGCACGGCATGAAATATCCCGCCCTCATGCACAATCTGACTAAGGTTGGCTTTACTAGATAGTTTTGCAGCTCATGTATTTTTAAAAATTCTGTTGGCTCACTCTTCCTTTTTCTCACCATATAGAGCAGCGTCCAGCTCAACCGTCGCGTCATCAGTGATCTGGCCGTTACAGAGCCTCGGTCGTTCCTCTCACTTGCAAAACTGGCAAGGGCTCGGCAACAAGAAGGCTTCAGGGCAGCACTGGGTGATGGCAAAGAGCCTTCTGGTGTGCTCTCCCGTGTAGTTATGCTGCAGTAAAGGACTTGCCACAGTTATGGATAAATGATTGTTTTTTTGGGGGGGCGGGGGGGTTAAAGAACAGCGTTTATTTAAAAAAAAAAAAAAAAAAAAATTGAACTGACACAGACACCTCATTTTAGGATTTCATCAAAATGTGTTTCTTGTATGATTCGTTTAAAGAATTGCATTTGTGTGTGGTGATTCATGATCGCTCGATCAGAGATCCGGCTTGAATTCGAGCTGTAACACAGGTTGTCTGTTTGGGGAAAAACAGGAATTTTACAGGCCGATCAAAAAGTAATCGGTTTTGTGACACTTCTGCTGGTCCTGTGCTTCTTGTTGGCTTTATATTTGAACAAGTCAATAAGGAGTCTCATGTTAACGAGCTTTCCACTGGTCTCTCGTAGAAATGATTTTTGGAGAGATTTTTAAAATAGTACCAACAGTGTATCATTCCTGAAGTAAACTTGCCTACAGCAGCACAGATCATTATGTGTGCAGTATTTTGACTCCTGAACTTCGAGATCAGTATCTCTGATTGTGTTCTTCATACGAACTTCATGTATAAAACCCGTAAATCCAACTTTCACTGGTATTTATCAATGGCTGCACAGAATCCCTGGCAGGAGGTAAACTTAAACTTCCTAAAACAGGAATGTGTTGCCAACATGTGGTGTCACCTCCTGATTACCTCCAGTGTCTTCACACATGGTCTTGTTATCATTTCCATAAACCTGTTTATCATATGCAACCTTGAGTTATGACTGAAAGTTTTTCTTTTTGTTTGTTTTTTAAGGTTGGCCTTTTTTTGTTTCTGTGTAAATATGTGTTTTACCACCTTTTGTGGGTCGGTTGTCCTCTAAATGTTTAGCTCATTAAACATTTTTGATATATATTCTGGTTTGCTGTCTTTCGTCAGATTTTTTTATTTTAAGGATTTTATTTACTTTTGTCCTGATCAACAATAAGCTGAACTCTGTTCTGCTCAATATTTATTTTATCTTCTTACAACTTATTGGTGTGGGCCTGCACAGCAGCTTCTCATGTAGCCCCTTGGGAACATAAATTGCCCACTCTTGCTCTGGAGCATGAAGTTGTTGGAAAACAGAAGGTTAAAACTGAAGTGAGGAGATTGTTTTCAGTGCAGAGTGTTTGCTTTAAATTTTTAGATTTGAAGTTTAAGTAAATCAAAAATAGATTTGATATAGAAAACCTGGAAACAATCCTCTGACACTTCAATGACTTTCAAAAACAGAAACAGCCTGATGAAACCGGGGTAAACGTCCTTTCGAGTGAATTGTATGCTTTATGATCCTTCGGGGCTACCGTATCAAGTGTGGGCGGGGCTACGTCAATGACCTCTGCTGAGGACTACTACGTTGAGCGCCAATCAGAAGGAGAAGTACTTGTTCTGAGCCAATCCTGGCTGCGATTATTCAGCTAAACCTTGAGCTGTTTGGTGCGCATGCGCAGAAGCTTTCGGCGTGACACGCGTGTGGAGGAAGCGTAGTGACAGACCTGCGGCTGCTATCCTCTGTCCAACAGAACCGGTTTAACGGTGCTTTATTTGTTCTCGGCGAAATGTCGTGGCTGTTCGGCCTGAACAAGGGACAGCCGGAGGTGCCTCCCGGTTTACCGGCACAGCCTCCACCGCCGCCACCTCCGCCGGCCGGGGGCTCCAGCGGCGGTGGAGATAAACCCAAGGACAAATGGAGCAACTTCGATCCCACCGGGCTGGAGCGGGCTGCTCAGGCGGCTAAGGAGCTCGACATGTCCCGTAAGTATTCAAGGGCTTCGGGTGGGTCTCCTTAGAGGAGGTGTGTACAGATTATACAAACACGGCTGCTGTTGGAGAGCAGAGCTGCACCAGCATCTGCTGCTCTCTGGCTCACGGTGATGGTGGTGGTCGCCTCAGTGTAGCTGAAGAGGCCCTCACCGACATCCAGCACCGGTATAAATACTAAAGGTTTAACTCACGTGAAGTTAGGCTTACGGAACTGAGCTGCATCTACCTTCATCCAGAGAGAGAACAGAGTTCAAAGGTCACGGACGTTGCAGTCCGGCTCAGAACATCCAGACCTCACCCTCTAACACACACACACGTGTGCAACGATGCAACACATACTATTATTTGATTATTGATAATGATTTCATTCATTCATTCATTCATTCAGGGCTGTTGTTTGGTAGTTAAGACTCAAAGGTGGATACAGTCAGTCACAGGGATCAGCAAAGACAGCAGGCCTCACAAACATAACGCTTTGAAGCAACTACATGCATCTTCATCTGTGTGTGTGTGCGTGCGCGTGTGTGTGCGTGTGTAGGACATGCCAAAGAAGCTCTGGAGCTTGCTCGAATGCAGGAGAATACCACTCAGCTGGAACACCAGAGTAAGATGAAGGTACAGTGAATACCTTTACTCACTATGTACTTCAAAAAAATGTGTTCATCACACAAACGTTAAACCAAGAAGCAACACAACCAGAAGATAAGTCACACAAGTAAAAAAATGAAAAAGAAAATCTGTTAATAAAAATAAAAGCAGAGCAGTGGATCACTCTGCATCTGCAGCAGGACACCGGGTACATCAGTCCGTTTCTATCAGCTTGATAATTCCTAGGTATTATAGACCTGCATTAGATGAAGCCGCAGTAGCCGTATTTTTCAGAAGTGGTCTTTATCAAAAGTTCTCCGGGCTTTCCAAAGCTCTGTCAGAGGCTGCTTTTTCACTCATTTTAAAATCAGTCCTTGTACAACTTGCCAAATAACTAATTTGAAGTTACTCACAGCTTACATGCATTAAATGGTATTTATTGTTTGCATCGTTGAGGTGATTCCTAAAGAGCTATTAGCTGAAAGCTTGGCATATTACAGCATGAGTCAATGGGTATGGAGAAGGTCAGGAGAGATTAACAACAGTGAATATATAACATGATGGAGGCTGTGCCATAGCATGCACACACTCTGTATGTTTGCATGTTACAGTGAATTACCGTACTGCACTTTTCCTAGCAAAATACAAAGAACTGTGTGATGTTGGCTTAAGACTTTTACACAGTACTGTATAAGAACTTGACTCAGATATTTACAAAGATGAGTAAGCACCACTGTAATGACCTTCCTGAGTATGTATAGGTGGAATAAGGCAGGGAGACCAGCACAGAGCAGGCATCAGAGATAGCAGGTGAGACCATAAAGATGAGATGTTTCAATGTGATGACTAGAAGAGTAGTCTCGAACTGGATCTGAAGTCATCTGATTGGGCGTTATAACAGCCGTGCTCTATTTAAGTAGGTATTCTTGCTCCTTTGATACTCGAGGACTTTGATGGCATCTGTGTTCTGTGCTGCGATGAATTGTCGCTGTTCTCCAATGACCCAGTTGTGCTCTCACCTCACGCTTTAGGAATATGAAGCAGCAGTCGAACAGCTCAAAGGCGACCAGATACGCATCCAAGCTGAAGAGAGGAGGAAAACTCTCAATGAGGAGAGCAAGCAGCATCAAGCTGTAAGAGGGGAAAACATGAGCTTCTTTTCTTTTTCTTTAGAGGGAAGAGCACTGTGAGTATTACAGCAGTGAATTGTACCAAATTGTGTTTTTGTGGTTGTGTCCCATCAGCGAGCTCAATACCAAGACAAGCTGGCCAGGCAGCGATATGAGGACCAACTGAGGCAACAGGTGAGTTGTTAACCTCCAACTCCAGCTGTAACGTGCTGTGAAGTGGGATACAGTACTAAATGTCTTGTGCTTGTTTAATTAACAGCAAGCCATGAATGAAGAGAGCCTTCGCAAACAGGAGGAGTCTGTACAGAAGCAGGAGGCCATGAGGAAAGGTAAAGAAACGAGCGCGGTTATTGATGGGATGCTTTTAAATGTTTGACACGATGAGCTGAGGTTTATGTTTTTGTTTTTTCCTCTTTGTTGTTTAGCGACCATAGAGCACGAGATGGAGCTGAGACACAAGAATGAGCTGCTTCGTATTGAGGCAGAGTCCAAAGCTCGAGCCAAAGTTGAGAGGGAAAACGCCGATATAATCCGAGAGCAGATCCGCCTGAAGGCTGCAGAACACCGACAGACCGTTCTGGAGTCCATAAAGTAAATTGTTTTGCTCTGAGCTGTTTATAATGGTGTATCGCTGGTTTTTAAGGTCATGAATGATAATAATTGTTTTTTAATGCAGTTTCTTGTAAATGCATTTTCGCACCTGAGCTGCAGCCCTGAGCTTTTATAGAATTTACTCGACTGAGCTGTACGCGAGCACACAAATGTCTGACACGGCTGGATTGGGCATTAAATTGTCTTTAATATGTCAGCTTGTGTGTGTAAAGTCCAATTGTACTTATGTGAAAGGAGTTTAAATGAATTCACTGCTAGCGTGCGGCCGCCTGTATCACATCTGCAGACTGTATAAAAGATCGACTTATCTGTTTGACTCAGAAGACCCGGTCGCCATCTTTGTTTTTTGTTTTTAAAACAAGGACATTGTGCGTAACCTTGATAACCTGAGTAAATGTATTTATTTATTTTTTATATCTATCTATCGATCGATCGCAAAACTTCAGTACAGCTGGAAATCCCTTTGCAACCTGCTGGCTGTTAAAAGAATGCAGATTTAATGTCTTTTTCAAAGTTAGAAGCTGCGTCTGTCTTTTATACAGTCAACGTTCCTGCTTCCTGCACGCTCTACTCGAGTAGCACCCTCATCCAAACCAAACAGAGTATTTACAGTAGCGCAAATTTCACTGATGCTGACTTTGTCCTGCTGTGTGCTGATTGTGAGAGAAGCAAATTTTCCTCCATTTTCTGGAGTTCATGCATGAAAACAGCTTAAGTTCAGTAAATGTTTAACAGTGTCAACATGGGCACTGTGACAGACTCTTAAAGGCGTGCTCACAGTTAACACGTGTTTGCTTTCAGGACTGCAGGTGCTGTGTTTGGAGAAGGATTCAGGGCCTTTGTGTCAGACTGGGACAAAGTGACTGCCACGGTGAGACACTCTGCTCCCATTCAAGGGAGAATTTGTCACTGAAATTCCAATGAAAACAAACATGAATATGCCTAAGGAGTACACTAAAGCACAGTTAGTTATGCTGTGTTCAAGTAACATAAATCAAACATTAATGTTTCTGTCGAAGTCAGACAAACAGGATTTGTTTTGCTTCTTAGCAAGATGGCAAAACAGAGCAATACCTTTTTGTGTGTGTGTGCTTTGAAATGCTGCTGCAGCACGTGCATGGATAGAGCCTGGTCTGTGAATTATATGCCATGCCCCGAATACATAACAGTGGCAGTACACGTTACACCTTTTACAGTTTTACTACCGTTTATGTTCACTGCCAACATCTCTGGTGGTAAACTCATTCATGGGGCTGCTCCAACTTTCTGAGTTGGAAATCCAAGTTTAGGGGTTATTCCAGATGAAGATTTTGACTGGAAACTCGTAAATACAGATTTCTAATTTAATCTGGAACGCAGCATTAAAAGGCCCAACATGTATGCATTCACAGATGTGCTAAACATTTCAATTGACTGTGTCCTTTTACTCCGTTGTATATACATCAAAGCAAATACTGCTTTTATGACACCTGTGGGTTTTCAAACACTTCCATTCTCAGAAACTCTATCTTAAAGGTATTTTTTCAAATTGTTTTTGGCTATAACTATGAAGATCTTATATCCCAGATGTTACCTCAACTATAAATATTATCTTCTGGGAAAAAAAAAATGCTCTGCTTATCATTGCTCATAATGGAGTGTGAATTTAGTCTCCTGATCTATAATGGTTTCCTCTCTTCCCCAGGTGGCAGGGTTGACCCTCTTGGCTGTGGGAGTGTATTCAGCTCGAAATGCAACAGCAGTGGCCGGACGTTACATCGAGGCCAGGCTCGGAAAGCC